CCCCTCACTGTACACACATCCCTGAGCCTGGGAACATCTGAATTATGTTTATTAGGAGAGAGGGAGGCTCCCTTGTCCTCACTCTTAACACAGTGCAGAGTCACCAAGCCTCTGCCCTTCCAGGTAATAGCATAGTGGGGAGGGAGAGGGTGAACAGAAAGCCTTAGTTCTAAAAACAGGCCAAAAAAGAGGAGAAGGTTTACATTTTCCTCATCACAGAGGGCTCATGGACCCAATCCACCTCTGCCCCTCGCCCTTGGCAGGCTCAGACGTCAATGGGCTCTCGGCCTCGGTTCTGTCTCTTCACCACAAACACCCTCTGTCCTGACACGGTCACCAGCAGCGTGTGTTCTCCAAAGACCACTGGAGGGGAGACACACCTTCCCAAGCCCCAGGAGAGGGAAGGGAGCACAGAGTTAGTGGGGTGCAATGGCCTTCATGGGGTCACACACAAACTGGCTGGGATCAAGAGCCAAAGAAACTCAGTGGTTCAAGGCTCAGAGATCTGAAGATGGGACATCTATATTCAATCCCTTTCTCTTACTTTCTCATACTTCTGAGAAAGTAAGTATGAGAAAGGGGTGAATCCCAAAGGGAAGAAAGTGGCCAGAACCAGGGACCCCAGGGGGAGATGGTAGAGGGTGATAGGAGATAAGTTTTTTTCTCTGAGGAGAGCACCCCCACCTCTGGGAGCACCCCACTTCCCATCACCATCACCAGGGGCTGGGGCTCACCCGACAGGCGCTTGAAGGGTATGTTCATGCCATGGTGTAGCCGGAAACCACAGGCTGTGCTGACCAGCTCAGAGATGGCACTGGCTGCCTGCTCATCATTCTCTAGATCCCCAGATGACTGCATGCAGACAGGGAAGGAAGATGGCAGAAATTAGGGAACAGAATTGGGAAAGAATTCAGGAACATCACTTTGGCTCTAGCATTGGTACTTTCTTCCTCTCCACTTCCTAGCACCCCCCGAGGTCACCCCAGTTTTGGAAAAACAAACCTAAAATTTTCCTATGATGTTGTTGCCCCTCTAGATGCCATACTGGTTCTCATGCTTATACTGGGCTTCCCCTGATGAGCAGTGACTCTCATTCATTTCTTTACTGACCATTCTTTTCTAATCTTTGAAATTCAATTTCTCTCCCTGTCCCCACTTACTTGATAAAACCACATTCTCAAACATCAGTGCCCACCCACCACTGACTTGTTCAAGGTTCCATCTTTTCCTCAGTCTTCCCACTTGCATGGTCTGCAGAATCTGAAACAAACATCCCTTTTGTCCTTGACCCCCTTTCTATTACCTAGCCCTTCGGTAATGATGTCACAGTAGCCTGGTCTTCCTCTTTTCTGGTGACTGTTGCAATTTCTCCCTACTTCCTAGATATGAGCTGTCCACTAGGTTAAGTTCAATGCCTTTTGATCTCTTGGACATTCTGTACCTCTGTTTCCTCATCTGTAAATTGGAGACAACAGTACCTATCTTATGGGCTCTTGAGGGTTCCGTGAGATAATATTGGTAAGGTGTTTAGAAGAGCTCCTAGCAATATAAACTGCTGTTATTCTATGTCAAATTTGTTGTCTAAAGTTAATCCATCAAACCCGGTAGGGCGTGGCTCAGCGGTTGTGCATCAACCTATGATTCAGGAGATCTCGGTTGGATTCCCAGTCAGGGCACACCCCCGGGTTGCAAGCTCGATCCCTGGTGGGGGACCTGCAGGAGGCAGCTGATCAATGACTCTCTCATTGATGTTTCTCTCTCCCCCCTTACCTCTCCCATTCCCCAATTAACTTCCTTTAGTAATTTCCTGTTAAAGGCACCATCATTCTAGGCTTAAGTCCAAAGTCTTACTGAATGGAGAAATACCTTCTCTATTACCTATCTCTAGTCATTATGAAGATATATTGATTCTTCCTTTAAATTCTCTTCTCCCCTTGTTCCTTCTCATTGCCACTAGTCCAGACATACATAGATATCCTTCCGCAGCAGCCTTCCTGCTTCTGGATCCCTCCCTTCTGGCCCATCTTCGCACCTAATAGAACAATCTTGCTTAACTATTTCTCCGCTCATGTTTCTGTTCAAAAACCCTTCAAAGCTCAGATTACCCGTCATGAAAGGCCTCACCCAATTAGATCTTTCCTTAACACATCCTTTTCTTCTCCCAAACCTTTCCAAACTTTTCAACATAAACCCACCATTAAGTCAGACAGGTGGGTGTCACTCCTGAAAATATAGCCGCCTCTCAGCCCTCTCCTTTTCTGCATGTTCACAACTATCCTTCCTTTAAGCCCAGCTGAATTTTTATGTCCTCCAAGGATTCCTTGTCATAACACAAGTTATAACTTTAAGGGTTGAATCCTTCATTTTCTGGACTCCTTCAGGGGTCTTTACCACTGGCATTGCTTTCAACTTTTAACCTTAAGCCTTGTCTCTAGCTACACTGAAAACTTCTAGAGCTAACACTATATTGTACTATGGAACAAAATACAAAACCTCTTCAATAAATACCAAATAAAGACATATTAGAGAATAACTTGGGTAATACCAGTTATCAACACCTGTAACCTGTAGTTGTCTGACTTTGGTAAAGTTAGTAAACCCTTTTACTTCAGAACAGTTACCACACTAAGATTCCGGAGATTTAATTATTAAGAGCTTACTATATGCCAGGCATGATACCAATTAAGACCAAATTAGGTTAAACTGGGCAATGTTAGAAAAAATCACCGGGCCATGTGTACTTGGGGGGTACCCCCTCCCTTGCCCAGAACGCACCGCCAGCACTGCGCCTTCACTCAGCACCAGGTAACCGAGCTGATCAGGAATTCGCTCCAGCCCCTGGGTCAGTGCAGAAGTCTGGTGGGTAAAGATGCAATCAGTCAGAAGCGCTGCTAGGAGGATGGCCCTCGATACTCTTCACTTGCAACCGAGTCTCTCATGACCCGCCCCTGACCTCCTTCTCTTTCCCAAGCGAGGACCCTTCCAGACCCTTTTCTCTCTACATGGCCACTGTCAACACTGATATTCTTGAACCTCGCTCTGTCCTCACCCTCCGCTCCTGGGCTCCCTTAGCCTTCCACATCCCACCATTGCTACCCCCGGAGGCGTTCGTAGCCCCAGTAGCCAATTCTCCATGTGACCAGCTCCTCCTCCGCAGACTACAACCTCCCACAGATCCCTCCTCGGCCTTCAACGTTGCCACTCTTCCCATCTCCAATCCCTCTCCGTGCAGGGGCGAACAGGAGGGGAGGAGAGACTGCGGGCCCAGGAAGGGGCAACCGAAGAGATTGGGAACAGGGTCGCGGAACCCCCAGCGCGTCTTCCCGCGCATGCGTGCTCACTCACCATCGCAGCCTTAGGTGGTGTGGGGCGCACCCTACCAGATAGGTAGCTTCCGGCTCCAGACCCAGGTCACGTGCTCCCACCAGGCCGTCTCCTCCTCCAGCCTTGCGCCCTGGACTTCAGCCCCGCCCCCAGAATGCGATTGGAGCTTTACTACGTCATCAGGCTTAATTTGCCACTGCAGAGAGCCGGTTTTCGGAGGCTCACGCGGATTGGTCGTAAATCTTTAACACCCCTCTCCCCGCCCCTCGCCCAGGGAGCCGGAGAAGAAGCGGGAGGAGTTGGCAAAGGGGTGGACCCGGAGGGGCGGGGCTGGAGGGAGCAGGGTGGGAG